GTGACCATTCGGTCTGTACCAGCGACCGAGGTCAAGATTCTCCCATACAGACCGACCTAGCTCGGTTAATAAGATGTTTATTATATGGCTGTGTCTTATATGCCAATTTTTTTATATTCTTTGTACATACCTTTTTTATTCTAGACCGGTCTAGATGCTGGTCTAGATGGGAAAATCTAGACCGCTTTCAATATTGATTTCAGCCAATCAAATTCATGAATTCGGTAGTTCCCAGTCCTTGTGAGACACAGCCATATAATAACAGTTCCTAATTACCCAAAGAGACAATTATTGATACAGGTAGCCTTCTGTTTGATAAAAGCACCATTAAAAATACAAACAAGCAGCTGGGATCATCCACAATACTCAGTTACTATACTTGCTGGGCTCTTAACACTTTATCCAAAGAGACAATTATTGATATGGGTAGCCTTCTGTTTGATAAAAGCACCATTAAAAATACAAACAAGCAGCTGGGATCATCCACAATACTCAGTTACTATACTTGCTGGGCTCTTAACACAAAAATTCTCCTTACAATGTGAAATCAATATTAAGCAGACAAGTGATGAGAATAAAAAAAAAGTCATCTATCAGATGATCCAATAACAGATTCTCTGCACTAAAATCATAAGAATTGTATGACAGAGAGTAAGGAGAATTACTCAAGATATCGGGAGTGGATGGATAAATAGAGGATACTACATGGCCGTGCGGGGATACGAATTTTATCTTCGAGTGCTGAAACTATCTCTCACGAGTGAGCGCAGCAGCCATGTAATGTTCTGTTTATTATATAGATACTGATGAGATTTCCACATAAAAGACAACTTTTTTTATTCATTTTCGAAACAGCAATCGGGTAATTATGTTGGTAACCATGGCCACACCAATATCTTCACACGTGAAAGATAGAACTAGTATCTTCACTGTGCAGTGAAGATATGATTTTTTAGTAAAAGGAGAAATCCTGGTATTTCATCAGTATCTATATAATAAATGATGATATATGACTAAACATAATCTTGAATGCAAAATTTAATTATGAATTTATGTATATGTAGTGATTGATTTATTTAAACTTCCAATTTCTTTAAAAAAAATGTAGTGACAAACTAACTCCCAAACAATGAACACCCCAACTTTGTCTGCAACGTTTATTGTGAAAATAATATTTAGCTGATCATAGTTTTGTTTTTTCACAGTACTGTAATGATGAGTTCAAACACCATACAATGTTTTACCTGTGCTTTCTTCTCGCATAAACTGTACAGGGATTTCAGAGAGGGATCTTTGTGCATTGGATGAGTGTACATTCTATGCTCTAAACTCTCTATTTTCTGTTTGAGAGGACATTAAGAAAACAATTATAATCAAGAGGGAAACATTGAGAACAAAATCCAATAAGCCAGAGAGAGCATGCTACACCATCCCAATTTCTAAGGCCTGATTTTGGCAAATCACTTAAGACCTGTTCTCTGTTCACAAACTCCTTGCCTGAACAGGGGATGTTTAGTGGGCCTCTCTATTAATTTTTTTTGACCCTCAAATTTTTGCTGCCTTCAACATTACATGTTCTCTCTATTGATCAGAATATAATAAAGACTTGTGACCAATCTAAGTTCCAAAACAAGCACAAATAGCTACACTTGGACGAAGAAATATGAAATAATTTTTTTTAACTTATCCTCCATAAGATCTCATCATACAACCCCCAAATTTAAGACTAAAATTTTTATTTGGATATCATTATCAAACCTAGGATAACCCTTCATCAGAGCAGGCCAGGTATAGAATATTTAGCTTTTATAATCAGAATCAAAATTCTATTGTTAAAATTAAAAAAAAAACATTAACTTACAACAGAAGCTTTCATTACACTCACCCTTATAACAGACTTTAATCCATCATCTTTGATTCCCATGTCTTCTATAGGATCCAGCATTGGTAGGCCATCTGGGAATCGACGTTGTACTTCCTGTTGAAACAAAACCAATGCAAAAACTTAATTTGCTTTCAATGGCTGATACTCCTTTCCTTTATTACTTCCTTAATGTTCTAGATCCTTTAAATGGAGTAACCTGAATTCTTAAGGTACTGTGCAAGTTACCCGATACCTTTGCTGCCAGTATAACAATTATCAGGTACCAACCTTGATTGATTTGCCAACACTCTGTCTACTATCAAGTGACCTCAAATCTTTAGGAATGTACAGCCTGACACTGCTTATTGCTTTCACCAATTGTAACAAAATGGGTACAACCTGGGAAAAAAAAATCCAAAATTTCATGCTATGCATACAACTATGCCTCACTGTTCCTTATCCCTTTTCATCCTAACATTATTACCATAAATCCTCTATTAATCCCCCCCTCTAATAAGCCCCCCTTCATAAGTCCCCCTTCTAATAAGCCCCCTCTAATAAGCCCCCCCTCATAAGTCCCCCTTCTAATAAGCCCCCCATTCATAAGTCCCCCTTCTAATAAGCCCCCCCTTCATGAGCCCCCCTCTTTTAGAGGAAGAAATTTATTAACCCCCCTCTATTAGGGCCCCCCACCCTTCCCCCTTAAAAAAATTAAATTAACACTCCATGTCAGTAAGTACAATAAATTTATTCATAAACTGTACTTTTAGTTTGTCAATTAAAATTGATTATGGTGAATGATTGATTGATGTTATCATGTTGGCATCAATAGAGTACAGTATACCGAAATTACAGAGCAATACATAAAATATAACAGGGCTAAGCAAGGTCCATTGAGAGAATTAGATCAGAAAATTGAGTTCGTTATTGTCAGCTGCTTGACTTCCAACTTCATGCGTATCCTGGTAGTGAACATCAGGCTAAATCAATACACCCCCCTCTAATAAGCCACAAGCCACCCCCCCCAAAGTACCGGGGGGGGCGCTTATTAGAGGATTTACAGTATCCATATTCTCTGTACTGCTCTCCATACATTTTCAATGGTACTGTCAAGGAGAATTTGTTTAATAATCAAAGCTTCCAAGGTTGGCAATCTTTTCCTTTATTCTCATTATCTTAACAAATGAATCAGCAGTATTACTCAACCCTTCAAGTCCCATGAATGACCAAAGCAGAATTTCTCCTTACAATATCAATACAATTTCAAGCAGACAAGGGATGAGAATACAGAAAAATATCGATCAGGAGATTATTGGTTGATCCAATACCAAATTCTCTGAGCTAACATCATGAGAATTGTAGAGAAGACAGTAAGGTGAATTATTTATGAGATCCTGGGAGTTATGGAGGAATTAAGAGTTAAGAGAAATTAGATACTGGTTAATCTTGGTGTTTAAATGGTTAAGACTTCACATTCCTATGAAGTTTCGAGGGACAAACAGATGCCACCCTGAAAAAAATGCCTCTTTAAAAATGTTACAAGACAATAAAGGCTGCCACATTTTATCTGAAAAACATGTTTATCAACTCAGTAAATTCTGAATCACAGATTAACCTGCATTTCTCCTTTTTCATCAGGCCTACACGGCTGAGGTGTGTCGCCATCTGCAGACTTCACTGGCTGACTGGAACAATTAAGCAACACTTCCAACACATACAAAGTCTCCCCTTGTGTTGGACCACTCTGTGAAAGTGATTTAAACAACAGTATTATTTCCAATAAAACTTCTACTCGTTGTCATGATAAGATTAAACTGTGGGAGACCCCATAGCCTATAGCTTGGCTTTCTTAACTTCTAGTTGAGAGGTGCTGCAGGGTTGTAGCTAAGAAATTACACTGCCAGTACAAATTTCAAGTGAGGAGGCTCAAAGGCAGTGAATGATTGTTAAGTGTGTAACCTCAGAAGTGGCTGTTGTGCTTTACCACTGGATCACTGGCAGAAAAATTCAGCCACAAATCACCACTTTTTCATCAGGAAAATTTCAATAGCAAGCAGCACTTAGTGACAAACTCTGGTACTATACAGATGCTAACCCCTACTTGGGCCAATGTGTTGTGTCCATAGGAGAGACACATCACCACTAACCCACAGTTCATGAATACAAATGGGTGGCAGAAGAACTGTGAGGGAAATCTGACCAAATGCTAGGGGGGTAACCCTGGGATGGAATGGCTTCCCATCCTGGAGGAGTAATAAATTCAAGTCACTCTAATTGAACAGGAATTAGCCACTGTAACAGTGTATAGCAGAGAGGTCCTCTTGTCTCAAGAGCAGATTTTATTAACTTGATAAAGAACAAATACCTAAGAAAAAACCAAGTCACTCTCTCTGATGAGCAGTTCTGCTATATATGGTGACTGTTGTTAATAAAAATGTCAATCACTACTATTGGCAACAGTCCTTCTTAGTACAACTGCAATAAGACTTAAAAAATCTTCTGTTATTTCCAGGTTTAAACCACTCACTGCATAATAATTTCTGGAGGTCTGGGTGCTTCAATAATATCATATAATCCAATGAATACCTTTTGATTGGCTTTCTTCTGGAAATTGAGAACCACTCCCCATCCAAAGTAAATGTCATTATTTTTAACCTACAAAATAACAATATATAATTAATCAAGTTACTCAAAGCAACAGAACAAAGAAGAACAAATCAACAAAATACATGCAAGAAGGATTAAATTAGAGATTAGCTTTTTAACTCCTCCTACTATAAAGTGATGTTAAAGTAACCCCTATTACTGGCATTTTAAATTTTTAAAGAAGTAAACATACAGTGGTTTTAGTTTTGTTTTCAATGACATAAGAAGAATTTTTTCCATAAAACTCTGTTTCTTTTTCCTCATTAATAACTGTTATTAGTATAATTTCAGAGCTGAGCAAAGAGTTTCCAGAAATCTGATTGGTCGAGCTGTTCCTTATATGATGCCACTATATAAACCACTCCACGCAGTTTATGTAAAATGTTAAAATAAAATGTTAATAAATGTTACTAAAATGTTGTGATTTTAGAAATTTCTCTGTTGTTCAGCTCTGAAATAATACTAACACAATTATTCACCTAAGGTTCGGTGAACATTGTCGAATAATCCCCTCGACTTCATCTCGGGGATTATCTGACGATATTCACCTCGCCTTCGGTGAATAATTGTTAAATAACAATATTCCTTACCTCGACCAACCTTCCAGGTTGCATAAAAGGCAGGCAATACTTAGGTTGATGAACATAAGCCTTTAATATAAATAAGAAGAAATAAAAGCAGGTTGATAACAAAAATTAATATTAATCATTACTTTTCATCTATTTTCTGTACCTTATTCTAACTGTGAAAATTAAAGCAAGGAGATAAGTGAAAGAAAAGTGCTCTGACTAGCAAAATTAACAACAGTCACGGGTATACCAACCAGCATGTCCTCCCCAAGTCTCTTAATCTGTTGTCTCATTTTGTAGTACGACATAATAGATTCTTCATTTTGGATTTCCAAAGATTCCTTCTGGGTTTCAAGATCTTTGAGCTCTTTAAATGACAAAGAAAAAGAGAACAATGGATTTACCCACGAAAGACACCCATGCACCAAAATTGTAACAACAAAATGATATCGCTTAATACTTTCAAACCAATCCTCTGGTTGCTTACACCCCATTTCCACAAATAAGTGCCATTTTTAATAAGCAACCTCCTACCAATAAGTACTCGCTCCATTGGCCACAATTTCAAATAAGCACCCAGCACTCCTCAATTTCTTCAGTCATAGGCTTACAAGAAAACATGTTTCTGTTGCCACTTTATCTATAATTATATATCTATCTCTTTATCTATCAGCAGAATCAGTGCAGAAGAATAATAAGGGCCTTCCAATAAGCACCCCCCTTTAAGGCACCATTTGAAATAAGCCTCCTGGTACTTAGTCCAGGAAATACCATAAGTACAACACTGATTCAAACTCTGATGAAAGAATGACCAGGAAAAATGACACAGAACCAGCAAGGCATTCTGCAAATGACATGCTAGAGTCTTGTTGTTGTTACACACAGTAAATGACTCCAGTGGAACCCCTCTAAACCAGACACCCTTGGGACTAAAGGAAATGTCCGGTTTAGAGGGGTGTCTGGTGTACTGTTTTACCCATATGGTAATTTTATGCTGCATAATGTATTGTCTGACTGTAAGTAGACTACAGTTACACACAGTAAGCGACTAGTGGAACCCCTCTAAACCGGACACCCTTGGGACCGGAGGAAATGTCCGGTTTAGAGGGGTGTCCGGTGTACTGTTTTACCCATATGGTAATTTCATGCTGCATAACGTATTGTCTGACTCTAAGTACCGGTACATAATATACAAGTACTAATAAAGCACATCAGTAGAGGAACAAACAGTATGGATCCCATGGAAGCTTTTCAAAGTCATTTTATTTGATTTACAAAAAAATTCAGTGTTACACACAGGGTAATATGATTGCCATTATTGGGGTTGCTATTTTTTCCATTCTCGGCCCTGTAGACTTCTTTCTTCTTCAAAATATCACCTACAGTTGATTTACTGATCCCAAATTTACTGATCCCAAATTTACCGCTTAGAGCCTACAGTGTTGCTTTAGGCACTGACTCCCCACATTTTGATCAACTCAATTTTCTTCTCTAACGATAACTCAATTCTTTGGCGTTTCGCAGCTGGTCTCTCAGACACAGTGATGTTTGCTACTTTGTTTGTTTTAGCAAGTGATTTCACCCACAACAGGACAGTCTATTAACCGGACCCCTGTTGTTGTCATTCAATCAACCCAAAAACAGTGGCACGATTGTCAACTTTAGATTTTTTGCTTCAGTACCATTAGAACAATGAGTAATTATTTGATGCGTGTTTCTCCCTTCTGATTGGGATTTCACAGCTGCATGATTATAATTTTAATTTTAATCACATTTAAAAATATGTGACTTGATTTTGGCAGGAAGCTTAGACCTTTCACATCGGTTTAACAAGGTCAATTTCTTTATCAGTACGTGATTCCAGAGTGAAAATAGTGTCCGGTTTCCGGAAGTGAGGGGTTCCGGTTTACTTAGGTTAAAAATAGAGAAAATATATGACAGAGATTTTGGGGCCGAAAATAGATCCAGTAAAGAGAGGATTCTGGTTTAATGAGGGTCCGGTTTAAAGGGGTTCCATTATATGCATTATTTGATATGCTATCACTGCATATAAAACTGTAAAATAACACATACTGAACCCAGTGCATGGACAGTCTGTGACCAGTGAACAGTGCATGTCTTGTCCTGTATAACCTGAATGTATTTCACACATATTACACACATGTAAGTCTGCAATCCCTTTGGCTGCAATTTACAACTTAAAGCTTGTGGGCAGCACTTACTTTCAATCAGGCCAGGAACAGAGGCATAATTCTGAAATTGATAAAATGATTTCTCCAGCATAATCTCAGGATTTACTTCTTCCACACGCAGTAGGTTCAACACCATGTTGTAAGTGAGATGAAAAGCACTGTTTAGTGGATCTGCTTGGCCCTGTTGGAAACAGAAAAAACATCAGTAAAACGAAAGAAATTGAAGATTAACTGATGAACTTACATTGTCCATAGCTGCACTTTTAACCTTTGACTCCCAAAAGTGATGAACATGTAACTTCTCCCTATAACATCTCCATACATTATCCAGCAAACAGGTGGTGAGAATATTCCAACTTATCAGGTAGAAGTTGTTATATTGATCAACTGATAACACCAAATTCTCATCACTAAGGTACAAGGAAATGCATGGCAGTCAGAAGGGAGAATTCATAATTAGATCTTGGGAGTTACAGGGTTATTAGCATTGAAAAAATAATTATGGTGTCTGCTGATGTTTAATCAAACAATAGCCCCTGACTGATCTGTTTTTTTTTTTTTCCATCTTCTGCACTTGACAATGAACTGACTTTGTGACAAGAAGTTACATTTGTATCACTCTTGGAAATAAAGCTAGTGAAACAGAAAGTAAAACAGCATGAAAAAAAAGAGATCTCAAAAGCAACTTATATGTAGACATAATTATCTGATTTGTCTTTAACAATTAATTACTCTTTACACCCTAACATTGGTATGCATATTCTCAGTACTGTTATCTATACATTTCCTAAGCTGCTGATAAAGAGAATTTGTTTAACAATCAAGAACTTCTTTGGTTAGTGATCATTTTCTTTATTCTCCTGACCTTAATGTGTGATTCACGGGTGATATTGTAAGGAGAAATTAGATGCTTTTCACTGTTAGGGGTCAGAGGGTTAAAAGTTATTATTATCCAACTAAACTTCGTAGAGTACAAATAACACCATAGACGAGTACAAATATCACACTGTATTTGTACTCTAGAGTACCGGTTAAACAGGTTTCCTCACATCGCATAAGCGAAGAGTTGAATTGTAGCTACGAAAAAAAAAATGGCGGACAATTTGAATCATATTTCTGACGACGAAGAGTTAGAATGGCTGGCAAATATAGATCCAAGTTTATTAGATGAAACAAACGAAGAAAAACAGCTAGACGACATGGA